TCAGATTCACCAGGGTTGAAATGAAGGAGAAAATGCTAAGGGCAGCCAGAGAGAAAGGTCGGGTTACCCACAAAGGGAAGCCCATCAGACTCACGGCTGATCTCTCGGCAGAAACCCTACAAGCCAGAAGAGAGTGGGGGTCAATATTCAACATCCTTAAAGAAAAGAACTTTCAACCCAGAATTTCATATCCAGCCAAACTAAGCTTCATAAGTGAAGGAGAAATAAAATCCTTTATGAACAAGCAAGTACTCAGAGATTTCATCACCACCAGGCCTGCTTTACAAGGGCTCTTGAAAGAGGCACTAAACATAGAAAGGAACAAGTACCAGCCACTTTAAAAACATACAAAATGGTAAAGCGCATTGACACAATGAAGAAACTGCATCAACTAACGGGCAAAACAGCCAGCTAGCATCAAAATGACAGGGTCAAATTCACACATAGCAATATTAACCCTAAATGTAAATGTGCTAAATACCCCAAACAAAAGACACAGACTGGCAAATTGGATAAAAAGCCAAAACTCAACTGTGTGCTGTATCCACAAAACCCATCTCACAGGCAAGGATACACAAAGGCTCAAAATAAAGGGATGGAGGAAGACTTACCGAGCAAATGGAGAGCAAAAAAAAAAGCAGGAGTTGCAGTTCTCATCTCAGATAAAATAGAGTTTAAACCAACAAAGATCAAAATAGACAAAGAAGGACATTACATAATGGTAAAAGAATCAATGCAACAGGAAGAGCTAACAATCCTAAATATATACGGACCCAATACAGGAGCACCCAGATACATAAAGAAGCTCTTAATGACTTACAAAGAGGCTTAGACTCCCACACAATAATAGTGGGAGACTTCAACGCTCCATTGTCAATATTAGACAGATCAACAAGACAGAGAATTAACAAGGATATCCAGGACTTGAACTCAGACCTGGACCAAGCAAACCTAATAGACATTTACAGAACTCTCCACCCCAAATCCACAGAATATACATTCTTCTCCACCACATCACAACTACTCTAAATTTGACCACATAATAGGAAGTAAATCATTCCTCGGCAAATGCAAAAGAACAGAAATCCTAACAAACAGTCTCTCAGACCACAGTGCAATCAAGTTGGAACTCATAATTCAGAAATTAACTCAGAACTGCACAGCTTCCTGGAAACTGAAAAACTGGCTCTTGAGTGTTGACTGGATAAACAATAAAATGAAGGCAGAAATAAAGACGTTTTTTGAAACCAATGAGAATGAAGGCACAACATACCAGAATCTCTGGGACACATTTAAAGCAGTGTCTAGAGGAAAATATGTTGCAATAAATGCCCAAATGAGAAGCAAGGAAAGATCTAAAATCGACATTCTACCTTCAAAATTGAAAGAGCTAGAGGAGCAAAGCCAAAAAAACTCAAAACCTAGCAGAAGATAAGAAATAACTAAGATCAGAGCAGAACTGTGGGAGATAGAGACACAAAAAACCCTTCAAAAAATCAATAAATCCAGGAGCTGGTTTTTCAAAAAGATCAACAAAATAGGCAGACCACTAGCCAGATCAATAAAAAAGAAAAGAGAGAATAACCAAATAGACGCCATAAAAAATGATAAAGGGGATATCACCACAGATTCCACAGAAATACAAACCATCATCGGAGATTACTACAAACAACTCTATGCACAAAGCTAGTAAACCTGGAAGAAATGAATAAATTCCTGGACATTTGCATCCTCCCAAGCCTAAACCAGGAAGAAGCCAAAACCCTGAATGGACCAATAACAAGGGCAGAAGTTGAGGCAGCAATTAAGAGCTTAGCACCCAAAAAAAGCCCAGGACCAGATGGGTTCACAGCGGAATTCTACCAGATATACAAAGAGGACCCGGTACCATTCCTTCTGAAGCTATTCCAAACAACCCAAAAAGAAGGAATCCTTACCAAATCATTTTATGAGATCAATATCAGCCTGATATCAAAACCTGGCAGAGACTCAGCAAGAAAAGAAAACTTCAGGCCAATATCCATGATGAACATAGATGCAAAAATCTTCAATAAAATACTGGCAAGCCGATTGCAACAGTGCATCAAAAAGCTTATCCACCATGATCAAGTAGGCTTCATCCCGGGGATGCAAGGCTGGTTCAACGTACGCAAGTCTATAAACGTAATTCACCACATAAACAGAACCAAAGACAAAAGCCACATGATTATCTCAATTGATGCAGGGAAGGCCTTTGACAAAATTCAACAGCCCTTTATGCTAAAATCCCTCAGTAAACTAGGTATTGATGGAATGTATCTCAAAATAATAAAAGCTATTTATGACAAACCAACAGCTAATATCATACTGAATGGGCAAAAACTGGAAGCATTTCCTTTGAAATCTGGCACTAGACAAGGATGCCCTCTCTCACCACTCCTATTCAATATAGTATTGGAAGTTCTAGCCAGAGTAATCAGGCAAGAAAAAGATATAAAGTGTATTTAATTATGAAAGGAGGAAGTCAAATTGTCTCTATTTGCAGATGACAAGATTGTATATCTAGAAGACCCCATCATCTCAGCCAAAAATCTCCTGAAACTGATAAGCAACTTCAGCAAAGTCTCAGAATACAAAATCAATGTGCAGAAATCACAAGCATTCCTATACACCAATAACAGACTTAAAGAGAGCCATATCCACATCGAGAACGAACTTCCATTCACAATTGCTACAAAGAGAATAAAATACCTAGGAATACAACTAACAAGGAACGTAAAGGACCTCTTTAAGGAGAACTACAAACCACTGCTCAACAAAATAAAAGAGGACACAAACAGATGGAGAAACATTCCATGCTCATGTTTAGGAAGAATCAATATTGTGAAAATGACCATACTGCCCCAAGTAATTTACAGATTCAACACTACTCCCATCAAGTTACCGATGACCTTCTTCACAGAACTGGAAAAAACCACCTTAAACTTCCTATGGAACCAAAGAGAGCCCGCATAGCCAAGTCAATTCTAAGCAAAAAGAACAAAGTGGGAGGCATCACATTACCGAACTTCAAACTATACTTCAAGGCTACAGTAATCAAACCAGCACAGTACTGGTACCAAAACAGAGATATAGACCAATGGAACAGAACAGAGGCCTCAGAGGCAACACTACACATCTACAACCATCCAATCTTTGACAAACCTGAAAAAAACAAGCAATGGGGAAAGGAGTCCCTGTTTAATAAACGGTATTGGGAAAACTGGCTAGCCATGTGCAGAAAGCAGAAACTGGACCCCTTCCTGACACCTTACACTAAAATTAACTCCAGATGGATTAAAGACTTAAACATAAGACCTAACACCATAAAAACCCTAGAAGAAAATCTAGGCAAACCATTCAGGACATAGGTGTAGGCAAGGACTTTGTGACCAAAACACCAAAAGCATTAGCAACAAAAGCCAAAATAGATAAATGGGACCTAATCAAACTCCACAGCTTTTGTACAGCAAAAGAAACAGTCATTAAAGTGAATCCACAACCAACAGAATTGGAAAAAAATTTTGCAATCTACCCCTCTGACAAAGGGCTAATATCCAGAATCTACAAAGAAATAAAACAGATTTACAGGAAAAAAAAAATAAGCCCATTCAAAAGTGGGTGAAGAATATGAACAGACACTTTACAAAAGAAGACATACAGGAGACCAACAAACATGAAAAAATGCTCATCATCACTGGTCATTAGAGAAATGCAAATCAGAGCTACATTGAGATACCATCTCACGCCAGTTAGAATGGCGATCATTAAAAAAATCTGGAGACAACAGATGCTGGAGAGGATGTGGAGAAATAGGAACACTTTTATACTATTGGTGAGAGTGTCAATTAGTTCAACCATTGTGGAAGACAGTGTGGTGATTCCTCAAGGACCTAGAAATAGAAATTCCATTTGACCCAGCAATCCCATTACTGGGTATATATCCAAAGGATTATAAATCATTCTACTATAAGGACACATGCACACAAATGTTCATTGCAGCACCGTTTACAATAGCAAAGACCTGGAACCAACCCAAATGCCCATTGATGACAGACTGGACAGGGAAAATGTGGCACATACACACCATGGAATACTATGCAGTCATCAAAAACAATGAGTTTGTGTCCTTCTTAGGGACATGGATGAACTTGGAAACCATCATTCTCAGCAAACTGACACAAGAACAGAAAATCAAACACTGCATGTTCTCACTCATAGGTGGGTGTTGAACAATGAGAACACATGGACAGAGGGAGGGGAGAGTCATACACTGGGGTCTGTTGGGAGGAAATAGGGGAGGGATAGTGGGGAACGGGGAGTTGGGGAGAGATAGCATGGGTAGAAATGCCAGATATAGGTGATGGGAAGGAAGGCAGCAAATCACACTGCCATGTGAGTGCCTATGTAACAATCTTGCATTCTCTTCACATGGACACCAAAACCTAAAATGCAATTTAAAAAAGGGGGGAATCGTGAATAATCTTCCCCTCGTTCAGCATGTCATGAAGAAATAACCCTAAAGATGGGCACCAGCACCCTCTGGGCTGCTCTATGGAGTAGCCATTCTATCTTTATTTACTTGCCTAAAAAACTTGTTTTTAGGAAAGAATAAACTTGCTCTGTGGTTCACACCTGTAATCCCAGCACTTTGGGAGGCTGAGGCAGGCGGATCACCTGAGGTCCAGAGTTCATCAGCCTGGCCAACATGGTGAAACCCTGTCTCTACTAAAAATATAAAAATTAGCCACATGTGGTGGTGAGCACCTGTGATCCCAGCTACTCAGGAGGCTGAAGTAGGAAAATCACTTGAACCTGGGAGGCATAGGTTATGGTGAGCCAAGATCACATCACTGCCCTCTATCTAGCCTCGGCAACAGAGTGAGACTCCACCTCAAAAAAAAAAATATATGTTTTCACTTTACGGACTATCCCTGAGTTGTTTCTTACACAAGATCCAAGAACCCTCACTTGGGGTCTGGATCGGGTCCCCTTTCCTGTAACACAGCTGCTGATCCTGAAGAGGGTCAGACTTGGGTCCTAAGATGGGGAGTCTGGGAATGTGATAAGGGCAGCCACCAGGTCCCAGGGATCTGGGCTCATGGGGGTCTGCTGGGTCAGAAGGCGCCTGCTTAAGATGGGGTCCTTCAATGTCAGGGAGGGGAATGGCCCACTTACACGATGGGGAGAGGGTTATATTCAAGACAGAACATACACACACACGAGTAGGACTAGGGGATGTTGCTGGCCACAACAGTGAAGTTGAGACCTCTGGAATCAGGACCAGGTTCAAATCCTGACTCTGACGCTTGTGCGTGTGGCCTTGGGGCAAGTCACCTCCCTAACGTGCAATTCCCTTGTCTGCAAAATGGGAACAGAGTAGTTCTTATTTTTGCATGTTTGCTTATTACATTTAATTATCTTCCTAATCTTCATTTTACCCTCATGAGGGTTGACAGACTTAGCAAATCATCACACAGATGCCCCGTTACCCTTGAAGACAAAGAGCGAATAACGTTTTAGTCTAAGTCTCGTGCATTATTTGGGACATACACTGAGAGTCCGAAACTCACACTTCACTGGATGTCCTGTGTTTTCTCTGGCAACCCTGCTCCCCACCAACGTGGTGCTTTTGGGATAGTTATCTTCCCCTTCTCAGCTTTCATTTCTGTATCTGGAGAATGTGGAAGTGGAAGGTAGAATACATGATTTTTAAGTTGCTGTGACTTTCTGAGAGTCCTTCACAGGTTACTTGACCCCATTCTCTCCCCAAGCCCCACCCCAACTCCAGTCTGCATGCCTCAGTTTCTCCTCCTAGTCCTTAGGGAATACTATTTTTTTTTTTTTTTGAGATGGAGTCTCGCTCTGTTACGCAGGCTGGAGTGCAGTGCCACGATCCTTGCTCACTGCAACCTCTGCTTCCCAACCAATTCTCCTGTCTCAGCCTCCCCAGTAGCTGGGATTACAGGCATGCATCACTATGCCTGGCTAATTTTTGTATTTTTATTACAGACAGGGTTTCACCATGTTGCCAAGTTGGTCTCAAACTCCTGGCCTCAAGTGATCTACCCACCTCAGCCTCCCTAAATGCCGGGATTACAGGTTTGACCCACACCACCCAGCTCAAAGAAAATAGAACACTATTTTCCAATCTTGGGTCAGTTTGTTTCATTTATGCAGCAATGGCACCGCCTGGTGGCTTCATGGAGAAGTGCCCTGAGGGTAAACCGCCCACAGCAGGGGTTGGAAAAACACTTAAAGGAATCTGACAGATGATGATCATCTCTCTAGAGGAAAAATGGTTCATTAAACTGTAGCAACCCCAGTATCCCTCCTTCACCAGGATCTCATGGTGATGTTAGGAACTGTCTACCAAGAGGCAGGAAAGTGCACAGGGAAAGTGACACGGTGCATTATTTGCAGATATGTTGCTCTTCTCTGATTTTTTTTTTTTTTTTTTTTTTTAGGTGGAGTGTTGCTCTGTCCCTCAGGCTGGAGTGCAATGGTGTAATCTCATCTAACTGCAATTTACGCCTCCCAGGTTCAAGCACTTCTCCTGCCTCAGCCTCCTTAGTAGCTGGGATTATAGTCACCTGCCACACCACACCTGGCTAACTTGTATTTTCAGTAGAGATGAGGTTTCGCCATGTTGGCCAGGCTGGTCTCGAACTCCTGACCTCAAGTGCTCTACCTGTCTTAGCCTCCTAAAGTGCTGAAATTACAGGCATGAGCCACCGCGCAAAGCCTGGTCTCTGATTTTTAGCAATGATGGTGTCAACCTGATCAACTGCCCTGAATTTTCCCATGTTCTTCCTCTCTCCGTCTCTTTCTTCCTAATGATGACATGTATGCACTGCACATCAGGCACTGTCTGAGTGGCTTCTATTGCACTTGCTAAGCACCTATTGTTTGCAAGGCCCTGGAATACAAGGTGAAGGAATTAGAAAAGGTCCTGGCTCCTAGTCCTGGCAAAAACAATCATATGCATGTGCATTTGATCTTTTTTCAAGAATTCAATTATAATCAAAGTGCCACTAACATTTTTCACAAGGCCAGGCACAGTGGCTCACACTTGTAATCTCAGCACTTTGGGAGGCCAAGATGGGTGGATCATTTGAGGTCAGGAGTTGGAGACCAGCCTGGTCAACATGGTGAAACCCAGTGTCTACTAAAAATACAAAAATGAGCCAGACCCAGTGGCATATGCCTGCAATCCCAGCTCCTCAGGAGGCTGAGGCTGGAGAACTGTTTGAACCCAGGAGGCAGAAGTTGCAGTGAACTGAGATTACACCACTGCACTCCAGCCTTTGTGATTTACCAAGATCTGTCTCAAGAAAAAAAAACATTTTTTTACAATTTTTAGAAAAAGGGTCTTGCTGTGTCTCAGAGCTGGAATTCAGTGGCGTGATCACAGCTCACTGTAACCTTGAACTCCTTGGCTCAAGCGATCCTCCTGCCTCAGCCTCCCAAGTAGTTAGTACTACAGGTGTGCACTACCAACATGCCCAGTTAATTTAAAAAATTGCTTTTTTGTACAGATAGGTTCTCTCTGATTGCTATGTTGCCCAGGCTAGCCTTGCTTTCCTGGCTTCAAATGATCCTCCCACCTCAGCCTCCATATGCCATTATACCGTAAATGTACCTAGCCAGGGCTCATGCCTGTGATTCCCGCACTTTGGGAAGCTGAGGTAGGCAGATCACTTGAGGCCAGGAGCTTGAGAGCACCTGGCCAACGTAGTAAAACCCCATCTGTACTAAAAATACAAAAAATTAGCTGGGTGTGGTAGTGCCTGTGGTCCTAACTACTACGGAGGCTGAGGCATGAGAATTGCTTGAACCTGGGAGGCGGAGGTTGCAGTGAGCTGAGATCACACCACTCCACCAGCCTGGCCAACAGAGAAAGACTCTGTCTCAAACAAACATCTAGCCAGGGCTCTGGAAACCATGGCATATAGTATCTACACGGAGACACAGAGATCCCACCATCTGTTTTTAGACAGCCCATGAGCTGCACAAGAATGTTTATTGGTTTTATATTTTTAAATACTTGAAAAAAATCAGGCTGGGCACAGTGGCTCACCTCTGCAATTCCAGCAGTTTGGGAGGCTGAGGTGGGTGGATCACCTGAGGTCAGGAGTTGGAGATAAGCCTGGCTAACACGGCAAAACCCCATCTCTACTAAAATACAAAAATTAGGCAGGCCTGGTGGCACACACAGTAATCCCAGTCTATAGTGCAGTGGCAAGATCTCGGCTCACTGCAATCTCCACCTCCTAGGTTCAAGCAATTCTCCTGCCTCAGCCTTCCGAGTAGCTAGGATTACAGGCGTGCGCCACCACGCCCACCTAATTTTATTGTATTTTTAGTAGAGATGGAGTTTCACCATGTTGGTGAGGATGGTCTCGATCTCCTGACCTCATGATCCGCCCACCTCAGCCTCCCAAAGTGCTGGGATTACAGGCATGAGCCCCAGCCTTTTTTTTTTTTTTTTTTTTTTTCCTTTTTGGACAGGGTCTCTGTGAAGGTGCAGGCTGCACTGAGCTTTCACTGTGCTACTGAACCCAGGCTGGAGTGCAGAGGTGACATCATGGCTCACTGCAGCCTCCACCTTCCCTGGATTCAAACAATCTTCCCCCTTCAGCCTCCTGAGTAGGTGGCTACAAGAATGTGCCACCATACCTGGCTAATTTTTTGTGTGTTTTTTGTAGAGACTGGGTCCCCCTATGTTACATAGGCTGGTCTCAAACTCCTGGCTTCAAGCAGTCCTCCTGCCTTAGCCTCCCAAAGTCCGGATATTAAGCTGTGAGCCACTGTACCTGGCCTCTTTTATCCTTAAAATGGGATTTTTTTTTTTTTTTTTTTTGAAGACAGGGTCTCACTCTGTCATCCAGGCTCACTGCATCCAGGTGCAATTGTGGCTCACTGCAGCCTCCACCTCTCAGGCTCAAGCAGTCCTCCTGCCTCAGCCTCTCAGTAGCTGGGACCACAGGTGCACCACCATGCAAGACTAACTTATTTTTTGTAGAGATGGGCTTTCACCCTGTTGCCCGGGCTGGTCTTAAACAGCTGGGCTTAAGTGATCTCCAGCCTCAGCCTCCCAAAGTGCTGGGATTACAGATGAGAGGTGCCAAACCCAGCCTATTTTATTGCTTATATTAGTTACCTCTATTAGAAGACATTCCCTTGTGTTCAAGCCCCTGGCTGACCAAAAACTCCATGGCCAGCCCTCTGAGCCTTCTTATAGAGAAGACTAGTGGGGGTCGAGCTGTCTCTTCTTTTTTCTTTTGAGATGGAGTCTAGCTCTGTCCCCCAGGCTGAAGTGCAGTGGTGCGATCTAAGCTCACTACAACCTCCACCTTCTGGGTTCAAGCGATTCTCCTGCCACTGTCTCCCAATTAGCTGGGATTACAGGCACATGCAACCATACACAGTTCATTTTTGTATTTTTAGTAGAGACAAGGTTTTGCCATGTTAGCCAGGCTGATCTTGAACTCCTGACCTCAAGTGATCTGCCCACCTCAGCCTCCCAAAGTGCTGGGATTGCAGGCATGCACCCCCATGCCTGGCAGAAAGATTGGGTTTTCTCATTTTATTTTTTAATTTTTAGATAGAGTCTCACTCTGTCACCCAGGCTGGAGTACAATGGTGTGGTCTCGGCTCACTGCAACCTCCACCTCCCGGGATTCTCTGGCCTCAGCCTCTCGAATAGCTGGGACTACAGGCATGTGCCACCACACCTGGCTAATTTCTGTATTTTTAGTAGAGATGTGGTTTTACTATGTTGGCCATGATGGCCTCAAACTCCTGACCTCCGGTGATCCTCCCACCTCTGCCTCCTAAAGTGCTGGGATTACAGGCGTGAACCACTGTGCCTGGCCATGGGTTTTCTTGAACCAAAGCATATTCCTTGTCATGTTTAACAAAATTGTACCCCAGCCCTGTACTTTGCTTGACTCATCCTCCTTTGACTAGCGAACCTCTCAAAAGCTGTAAGGAACATGGAAGAGCCACTGGCCAGGCATGCTGGGTGGTGGCAGGGGGTGCTGGGGTCCCAGTAGTTGGCATCCCCTTTCCCAGGATGTACACAGGGCCTCATTTACCTGTCCTGTTATCTCCTAGGTCAGCTCATCAACACCGTCTGTGTGAAAAAGGGAGACCAGATCTTGTTTTCTTCCATGTTCAAAGCCAATATCAACATCTACAACATTGCTGTCAGTGCGTGTCTGAACCACCGGTAGCCTAGAACTACTTAGACCTGTTTTATTAATCATACATCTGCCAGGCCCAACCAAGCCAAAACATGAAATCGACCAGACGCAGTGACCCACATCTGTAATCCCAGCACTTTGGGAGGCTTAGTTGACTCATTGCATTTTTGGTCTTTGCCAACTGGTTTGCTTTTGCAGTGACTGGTACTTGTTCCTTTCCGTGCTTAGTGTTTCTTTCAGGAGCTCTTTAGGGCAGATCTGGTGGTGAGAAAGTCTCTCAGTAATTGCTTGTCCGTAAAGGATTTTATTTCTCCTTCACTTACGAAGCTTAGTTTGGCTGGATATGAGATTCTGGGTTGAAAGTTCTTTCCTTTAAGGATGTTGAATATTGGTCCCCACTCTCTTCTGGCTTGAAGGGTTTCTGCCGAGAGAGCTGCTGTGAGTCTGATAGGCTTCCCTTTGTGGGTAACCCGACCTTTCTCTCTGGCTGCCCTTAGCATTTTCTCCTTCATTTCAACCCTGGTGAATCTGACAATTATGTGCCTTGGGGTTGCTCTTCTTGAGAAATATCCTTGTGGAGCTCTCTGTATTTCTTGGATTTGAAATTTGGACTGCCTTGCTAGGCTTGGGAAGTTCTCCTAGATAATATCCTAGAGCGTGTTTTCCAGCTTGGATTCATTCTCCCCGTCATATTCAGGTACACTGATCAAGCATAGGTTAGGTCTTTTCACATAATCCCATATTTCCTGAGGCTTTGTTCACTTCTTTTCAGTCTTTTTTCTCTGTCATGCCTTCCTTTTTATTTCATTGATTTGATCTTCAATCTCTGATATCCTTTCTTCTGCTTGATCGATTTGGCTATTAAAACTTGTGTTTGCTTCACATAGTTTTCATGCTGTGTTTTTCAACTCCATCAAGTTTTTTATCTTCTTCTCTAAGCTGGTTATTCTGGTTAGCATTTCGTCTAACCTTTTTTCAAGGTTTTTGGTTTCTTTGCATTGAGTTAGAATGCGTCCCTTTAGCTCAAAAAAGTTCATTATCCACCTTCTGAAGCCTGTTTCTGTCAATTTGTCACATTCCTCAGTCAGGTTGTCATCCTGTGTTGTTGAGAAGTTGTGATCCCTTGAAGGAGAAGAGGTGTTCTGGTCTTTGATGGTTTCATATTTTTTATGCTGTTTTTTTCCCCATCTTTGTGGATTTACCTGGCTGTGGTGTCAGGGAGCTGCTTGATGAGGTTCACTTGTCTGCCTGTAGAGGCACTACTGGGTTTCTAGGGACTCCTTCAGGTTACTAGGGAAGCTTCCTGTGTCTTTTTGGTTTATACTGGGAGATTAGGCCTGCCTCTTTGCTGACCTGTAGGTGCTGTTGGGTTATCAAGAATGCCGTCCCGTTGCTATTTAGACTTCCTGTGTTTTTTGTTAAAACATGTAGCCCAGTCCCACTCCTCTAGTGGTGGGTTGTGCCCTTCCTCCACTGGGCTGGATCATTCAGGGTTCATCTCAGACTGTGGCACTGTCTGCACAACCCACTAGAGTCAGAGCTTCAGTCCTCTGGGGTTTGTGGGGGAGGGTAGGGACCCATCCAGCCTCACCCGGCTGTCTCCCCCTTTCAGCTTCTTCTCTCTCTGGTCATGGGGTAGGGGCCTGCCCAGCCTCTCCTGCTTACAGCTACCTCTCTCCAAGCAGGGGGAGGGGATGACAGCTCAGTCCGCAGGCTCTTATTCAACTTCGCACTTGTAATTCCTGGTGCTTGACTGGCAAAGATCCCCTGTTCTGTGTATTGTTGAGGCTTTGGGGGAAGCACTGTATTTGGACCGGAGTGCCAGAGAGGGAGTCTCCGACTCGCCGGTCAGATGCACTTTCTGGGTGAAGCAGCACCATTCCCCACCTGGGTCTGCCCTAAATGGGCTTTGCTCACCGTCAGACCAGACCCGTTGAAATGCACCTGTGCCTCGGTTGGAGCTAGGAGATCTCTGGATTTTTGCGTCTCTCTCGCTGGGTGTTGTGCATGGGAGTTGTGTCTGATTGGCCATCTTGGATCTCCATTATCTTATTTTTTTAAACAGATGAGAGAAATAAGATTCAGAGAAGTCATCCACACAAGGTCACAGAGTCAGTGCAGAAATTCACTCAGGTCGGCCAGTTTCTAGAACTCTCAACCACCCTGCTGAGTTGTTAGGTGGCACAGTCTACTTTCCAATTTGGGGATTATTTGGGGTGATCCAGGAGCTCTTCAGAACATTTTTTCAGTTAAAGGGAGGGAGATGCCCATGCCTGTCTCTTACCACACCTATTCTTGACTGACACAATCAACACTCCATTCTTCCACTTAAGGCCTGTCAAATAGCAACAAGCTGAAATGGGGCAGGACAGATCACTGCAGATGAGCTACAGTGGAGCCAGCACCTCCTGCAGAATCTGCAGTCCTGGTGAAGGTGCTGCTATGCTGGGCACTGCCAGTCCTGGTGAAGGCGCTGCTGTGCTGGGCATTGCCAGTCCTGTTGAAGGTGCTGCTATGCTGGGCACTGCCATTCCTGGAGAAGGCGCTGCTATGCTGGGCACTGCCAGACCTAGCCAAGATGATGATGCCATAGTAGGTGCTGTCCTACTGGGTGCTGCTGATCCTGCGTGAGCTGCTGCTGTGCTAGGCAGGAAGCCGTTAAATAGCAAATCCAGCAAGGCAGGTGGGGTCAGCTCCTTTCATTCAGCTCCTGGAGCTCAGAGGGACGATTCACAATGTGACCACAAAATAACTCTAAAGTGGTAGGAGTTTTATTTTTGAGGAGTGGGGTGGGAGGAAGAGGACACTGTGAGATGATGATCACACTGAAAGTTTTTCTCCTTTTGCTGCAAGCTGGGGACATTTATAAAACCCTACCCCAGGCATGTGGAGGGAGGGTAGTCATCCTCTGATATCAGCAAACAGTTGCTGTGCTGAATTTGTAGGGTGTTTACTGGAAAAGGGTAAAATTCCTTAACTTTGACTCTGATCGCATTTATATGACTGTGTAAGAACATAGGTATGGAGGAGAAAAATCATGGCTGAGTATTTTCATCAGCCATTCTTGGACCTTAGTGAAAGGGGATTAATAACAAACACTCGCATCACATTTAAGTTGTGGCTCCATATAATTGGTGATCACTATACAGGCATTTCTGTTTAACATTACTTAGTGAGCTGTGTCTAGTTTTCATTTCATAAAGTGATTGTGTATGCCATTCCATTCTCTGTATAAAAGTAAAAGACCTAAACTGATAAAAGGAGAGTCCTGTGGCTGGGCACGGTGACTCGTGCCTGTAATCCCAGCACTTTGGGAGGCTGAGGCGGGCAGATCACAAAATCAGGAGATTGAGACCATCCTGGCCAATGTGGTGAAATCCTGTCTCTACTAAAAATACAAAAAATTAGCTGGGTATGGTGGCACGTGCCTGTAGTCCCAGCTACTTGGGAGGCTGAGGTAGGAGAATTGCTTGAACCCGGGAGGCAGAGGTTGCAGTGAACCGAGATCATGCCACTGCACTCCAGCCTGGTGATGGAGCAAGACTCCATCTCAAAAGAAAAAAAAAAAAAAAAAAAAAAAGGAGAGACTTATTTTGAAACGACCCAACTGACAGACAAGACGATGGGCCCTCAGACGCTGCTGGAGGCCACACCAACTGTCCAGTCCTTCTGGAAATATTTGAGGGAGGGAAAATCAAAGGCTTTAAAGATGCTCTGCTCTTGGACCAGCACCTCCCTTTCTGTGACTCCATTTAAAGGAAACAATGCTAAAGTTAGAAAAGAAAGTTTACAAAGATATCCACTTTGATCTTATTTGTTACAGCGAAAGTTAGAAGCAATATAAACGCCATGCAGTAGGAAGAAAATAAGTAGTTAAGTGAAATGTACAATTAGACATCTTGTTCTCCCATTAAATTATGTTTAAGAATATCTGAAACGTGCAGGTACCTGTTAGAGTATTATCTCATTCATTCCTCAGCACACTCCAAATGGGCTATGATCCTCTCCATTCCACCGGGCTCCAGCCCAACCACAACCTCGTCAAACCCAGTGGTTGACGCTCTGTCTCCATCTCACTCAGATGCTCAGTAGCGTTTGACACAAGGTCCCACTCCCCTTCAAAGCGCTTTCTCCTCTAGGCTTTCCTGCTTTCACCAGGTTATCCGTTTTCTCTCCTCAACCTTTGCATGCTGGGGCACCCTAGGGCTGAGTCCTGGGCCCCTCCTCAGTTCCATCTAATTTCCCCC